AAATTAACATATATGTTGTATAATTATAAATAAATATTATAAATATGTTACCTATAAAAATGAGAACCTTAGCAATATATATTTCAACTGACATATGATCTTTTAAATGTGTAGTGTAAATGTAACTTATATTGACAAAATGGGAAAAAGAATACCTGTGAAAGGAAAAGTGGGAGATAATGTATTGTATTTAGCCCATAGATATGGTATTGAAATGGAAGGTGCTTGTGAAGCATCTCTTGCTTGTACCACTTGTCATGTATATGTACATCATGATTATACAGATAAACTCCCAACAGCTGAAGAGAAGGAAGAGGATCTGTTAGATTTAGCACCTTTTTTAAAAGAAAATTCTAGATTAGGTACATAAGAAGAACTACAACATATTTAATGTTAATTTTACAAATTATTAATAAAGCTTCATATTTTTAGGTTGTCAAATTATATTAACAAAGGAATTAGATGGTATAGAATTGGAGTTGCCACAAGCTACAAGAAATTTCTATGTAGATGGTCACACACCAGCTCCTCATTGATGTATCTTTTTTCTTGTATCTAGGTTAATATGTATATATTTTATTTACATAGCACAATTGTAAACTTATATTTTGTAATGTATAAAACTTAAGTATAATATAAATTAATTATCATATTTCTTGGTATTTTTAATGACCAGTGATTTAGAAAAATATTACATTTTCAAAAAGTATTTTAATGTATTTCATATAATTTTAGAACAACAAACTTGATTTTATGACATATCGTCATGGTACAATATATTTATTTCTTATACATTTGGATTATGATACATATCTTTAATTACAATGATACAAGATTTAAACATTTATGATATAATGAATCTGTGAATTAAAATCGTATTTGCTAACCTTGCAGCATTTACATTATTAGTGAAAATACCCTATAAGTTTTTGCAAACATCACGTTTGAGCGCTGCCACTAATGTGTTTACACGTTTTCCATTTCTGGCAGGCACCTTTATGCATTTTCCCAGTTTGATAACTTTCGCAATAGTTTATGTATACATATTCTTTTTATATGCATACCGCGTTTATCAGCTTATATATGCATACGTAAACTTGCACTTTTTTTTATGCATCCATACTCGTCTCTGTGTCGATAATTATTATCACCAACATTGTCATATAATTATCGTACAAACTATATTTATTTATATTTTCTGTTCATTATTGATCACTATAATTATAGACACGTTGTAATATCTCAGATCAATCGCATTCTACACTCATACTCCATAATTAAAAGAATTTAAATAGAAGTACATTCATTCAGCCACACAATGTCATACAAAATTACACTTGTGAAGATGATTACATGTGTATCTCACATTTGGTATGAGTCATCACAACGGACTTATTGAAAAAATAATTTTTTGTACTTATTTGTAACAAAAAATGGGTTGTGATATTTTATTAAATAATATATAGAAAAATACTGTCTACATTACAAGAATCAGTGGAATACTTTAAATGAATAAAGATAAAAAATTTGTTCAATATCAAAATTAAACTATTAATTTTTATGGCAGTAAACAATTTAATATTTAAATAGTTTGCAA